GAGGCTGAGGCAGGAGGATCACTTGAGCCCAGGAGTTTGGAACCAGCCTGGGCAACATAGCAAAACCGTCTCTACAAAAAAATTAAAACCAAAATTAGCTGGGTGTGGTGGCACACGCTTGTAGTCCTAGCTACCTACTCAGAAGGCAGAGGCAGTAGAATTGCTTGAGCCCAAGGGTTCAAGGTAATAGTGAGCTATGATCACACCACTGCACTCCAGCCTGGGTTACAGAGTGAGAGACCCTGTCTCTAAATAAATGAATAAATAAAAATTTAAAAAGTGAAAAGCTTTTCTTTTTGCCCTATTTTTTGATCCCCAACTAAAAGGTAATAATATCTAGAAAGACAGAACTAAACTATTTGCTTTAGGTGGGTTATGGATAATATACTGAGTTCAAAAAAGGTGATCTAGAAACCTGCAAACTTTCGAGTTGTGTTTAGGTGAATACAAAAATGAACATGCTCAGTCCTTTTTTGGTGTGTTTTCCTTTAGTACAGTTTCTTACTATTTCATTTGTTAATGCTGCAAATTTATTTTTAATTTTTTAAATTTTTTTTAGAGATGGGTTCCCACTATGTTGTCCGGGCTGGTCTCAAACTCCTGGGCTAAAGTGATTCTCCCACCTCGGCCTCCCAAAGTGCTGGGATTACATGCGTGAGCCACAACGCCCAGCCAATTATGCAAATTTCAAAATTACTTATGTAAATCCAAACACACAGAAATATTTCATCAAGTTAAAAATTTCTATTTTCTCTGAACATAACATATACTCTCAGCTGATTGATTTTACAAGAGCTGTTCCAGTTTACAATTCACACTAAGTTTATTCCCTGGCAGCATTTAGTGTAAAAGCTGTGACCTACGGAGGCTAACAGAATTATAGTGTTTAGGCATAAAAATACAAGCAGCCAGACTCTAGTGTTTATGGCCAGCATGACTATGACTTATGAAAAGTACTAATTAGCAGTACCAAGTTCTCAGAGTTCTTCATCATTCACTCATTCAACAAATACTTACTAGCTGCCCACAATTTATCAGGAATTGGGCTAAGTGCTAGGGCTAAGATAGTGAGTTAATATGCTCAGTACCTATCTCTCCTCTAGGAGGATAGACAGTAACAAAAATAAAATGATAAAGGCAAAATGTAAAACTGCATTTGTGATATGTGCCACAAAGAAGGGTATGTGTTACTTTGAGAACCAACAATGGTGGATGTGACTTAGGGAGGTCAGGAAAGCCTTCCCTGAAGAAATGAGGTTTAGGCTGAGAGCTAAATGATGAACAGGAGTTAGGAAGGTGAAAATAGAAGGGAGAAATTGTTCGAGAGAGAACAGTTTATGCAAGATTCCAGGAAGGATGATCAGAAGAAAGGAATCAGAGCTATAGCAATGAGAATGAGAGAGAAGATAGTTCAGGTAGAGATGGGGTCTATGAAGGACTTTGTGGGCTGGCTATAGTAGGGATTTTGATCTTGG